CCCTTACCTCCATAAATAATTTTTTTTTTCAAACATAAGAATTTAATTCGAATGCAACTGATAACGTGTCTCTATGCAATGCGACCGACTATCCGTAATCTTTTTCTTTTCGGATTCTCTAATCAAGCAGCGAAGGGTATTTTCCAAAATAAAAATTACTTATTACACTAGAATTATGCCCGTGTTTGTGTCGAGTTTTGTGGTATAATAATTCTCGTTCATATTTTGTTGTGTAAACTATGTTTATCATTTTTTTTTTATATTTCATATTCAAGATAATGTATATTTTGAATGAGTAAATATTAGTATGACTCATTCGTAATAAAATTTTAAAAGTAATAATCGATAAAATTAACTTGATAGTGTAATTTTGTAAATTTTTACAAATAAATTTATTACACTCAAAATGAAAATTTTAACGAACTCAAAAGGAAAAAAGAAATGTAAGAATCTATAATGTTTTAAACAACATCTCTTTAATAATATTTTTTTGTTAGATTTTCCTGAAAAATATTACATTTTATACATACTTGCTGGTTTTTTATATACTGAAATAAATTTTATGATTTCTTTAAAAACAATTTCACCACAGTGAACTTTGTTTTTTTTTTTTTTAAGCAAAAGAAAGGTTAAGATTATATTCAGGTCCCAACTAGCTCAAAAAAACTCAAGGGATCTACCCAGGAGGTAAATTTTTGAACTAGTCAGTGCCATATAGTATAATGCACCCAAAAGGTCTACCCAAGGGATGGACATATATACTATATAGTTCCCTAGCGCCACCCCTCCTTGAAAATTTTATTAATTTCAAAATAAACGGTGGCAGAGTATAATCTAACCACTTTTACATCAAGAAATGCGACTTCTCACACAAGGGAAGGAAGATTGGTCAAGGATCAATGTTCCTTTTACATTTCGTTGCAAAGAAATAAAACTAATATATACTTCAAAAAACCACCAACCGCAAATTTAGCTAACTCATCTGCCACCGAATTAGCCTCTCTATAAATATGTGTCACCTTGAAACCGTTCTTCTGCATGAGGAAGACCATCTCATGAAACACAGAAAAATATTCCCAAGGAAAACCTGAACCTTTTTCCAAGGTTTCAGCTAGGGTTTTATTGTCAATCTGAAGGACCACATTCGATAACCCCATCAACTCACATCTTCGCAAACCGGAAAGAGCACCAAAAACCTCCGCCTTGTAGCTATCCCCATCTCCTAGATAACCACATTCCCCATAACCAAAATGGCCACCTTCACCATGAATCACAAAACCATAGCCCGCTTCATTTGGATATGACGATCCATCAGTGTTAAGAACATATGAGTTCGGCCCTAGCGGAACCCATGGCACCTTCAAATATTTTGGTCGTATAATGCGACTAAGCTTAACACCAAAAACCCTAGCAAAAAATTCTCTTTCCACCTCACTTCTTATTTTCAAATCATGAATTATCAAAAAAGATCGAACTTGATCCACAATATAGCAAAAGAGTACTTGAAAATTTGGCCGAGAACCCTCATATATAGCTTTATTCCGAACCTTCCAAGTCTCCCAAAGAAAGACTGCTGGAATAAACTTATATAACACCCCATAAGCTGTTTTAAAATCCCCTCTATTCCACCACTTCTGAAGCATAGACGCGAGAGTACTACATCCCATGACATTCAGCTGGATAATCGAAGCAAGATGATTCCAAATCTGCCGCACCATTTGGCAACCAAAGAAACAATGCTCCATTCTGTCATCATGATCGCAACAAAAATTGCATATGGAGGGAAAATTTTGAATCCCTATTCTGCCTAAAACCTCATGGAAAGGCAGTATCTTGTTATGGAGCTTCCACACAAACAAGGAAATTTTTAGAGGAATTATTGGATTCCAGATATTCCTCAACCAACCTTCTTCCGTGCGTCTCCTTCGCAACACCTCATATGCTGTTTTGACAGTAAAATTACCAAGAGAGTTCTGCTGCCAAAATATCAAATCATTCTCAGATTGAAGATCGAAAGAAAATTCCTCCAAGAATTGGAAAAGAACTTGCGAGATGCTTCCCTGAATAGCAGCCAGAAAATGATGTTTTTGACCCAAAAATTCCTTAATTATTAGACCAGGAAAAGGCCATACCATGTGCATTGTCCCAAAGCAAACTAAGAGGACACCAATTATCGAAGCAAAAAGAACGATCAGCCCCCTTATAACGACCTTGGAATGCATAACAATGCACGACTCAATTTTTTGGATTCGATTCCATGAGGATTTTTTCCTCGTGGACTGAGAAAGAGATGCCAAAAATCTACTCCAAATACCCTTCTTCAACTTCCATTTCCACCAAAGTTTCACCGTCAAAGCATCAATAGCACCATGAAAGGTTCGGATACCCAAGCCATTTTCTAGATACAGAAATGTTAAACGACCCCAAGTCCGCTAATGCCTTTTTGTCTCCTCATTAGTTCCCTGCCATATAAACTTTTGACAAATCTTTTCCAACTTCTGAATGATCGACTTTGGCGGAGGAATCGTCGAGAAAGTATGAATCAGTATAGAGGCCATGACATGCTTAACCAAAACAAGACAACCAGCCTGATTCAAAAACTTATTCTTCCAATTCAGAATTTTTGCATTCAAGCTATCGAAAAGAAACTAAAAAGTACTAGCTTTACTCTGTCTCAGGAATAAACGACAACCCAAGTGTACAAATGGAAAGGCACCCTTCTGGATGCCAAGGACCCCTTGAATGATCTCTACCCTTTTCGCTAGACAATTTTCAACAACCATAAAAGAGCTCTTTTGGCGGTTAATTCTCTGACCCGAGGCTGTTTCATAATCATTAAAAAAGGCATTGAGCTTGTGCAAAGACCCCTTTAAACCCCTTGAAAAAATAATTAAATCATTCGCAAAAGCAAGATGAGAAACAATCATCGAACCTGGTGGACTACTATAATTAGCAATACTCCCAGAATGTACTAGAGCCTTTAAACATCTTGTCATCGCCTGCAAAACCAAAATGAACAAGTAAGGTGATAAAGGATCACCTTGTTTAATACCATGAGAAGACCGGAAAAATCCAACAGGGCTTCCATTTAGCATGACAGAAAACCAACTATTGCGCAAATTGTTCATAATCAAAAGTATGAAGGAGGAGGAAAACCAAACTTGAGCAAAATTTTCTCCAAGAAACTCCAATTAACACGGTCAAAAGTCTTCATTGTGTCCAATTTAAGCAGAAAATTTTTTCCTTGAACCTTTTGCTTTAGAAACTGACACAAGTCTTGCGCAAGTAAAACATTGTCAATAATATCCCGACCCTCCAAAAAAGTCGATTGCTCCTCCGAAATAATTTTAGGCAAAACCACTTTCAGTCTTTCAGTAAGAATTTTAGTGAAGACTTTATTAAGAAAATTGCAAAGACTGATTGGCCTATAATCCGAAAAAGTACATACCGTAGTCTTTTTTGGAAGTAAAGAAATCAAGATGCTTGATATTGATCGCGGAATGGGAACTCCGAGCATAAATTCTTGACAAGCACACCAAAGATCCTGAGAAATAATTTCCCGACAAGAGAAATAGAAATGGCCACCAAGGCCATCAATATCCGGAGCACTATCCTTGCTGAAATTAAAGACTGCCGCCTTTATTTCTTCAAGCTGAATTGGCTTTAGGGTCAACCCTACATCAGCAGCGCATAGAACATGAGGAATCTGGTCCTGAAAAATCCGTTGCGCAGCCTCCTCATTTTGCGCATCATCTACCTCATTTAGAAGATCCTTGAAGAACCCTACAGCCTCTTCCTCAATGTTAGCCCTCGACAACAGCGATCTTCCATCCCACGCTTGAATTTTATAAATGCCTTGCTTAACTCTTCTTTCTTTCAATGCCGCATGAAAAAAAGCTGTGTTCACATCTCCCTCTTTCATCCATTTTAACCTCATTTTCTGAGACAAAAAATCTTCATGCTCTTTCAGTCGAAGAAGCAAAGCAGCCTTCGCAATATTGAGATTAATTCTATCTTGCTCAAGCTTGGATGCATCAAAGATAAGTTCCAACTTCTGAACATTTTCCTCCGGCTTTTTCAGTTTATCAAAAACGTCCCCAAAGACACTTTTATTCCACTCTTTCAATTTGAGTTTCAGCCGCCTAAGCTTCAAAGAAAACCTTAACATTCTAGTTTGCTCAATTGGCTGGTCCCAGCATTCTCAAACAACATCCATAAAACCATCCCGCCGTAACCACATTTTTTGGAACCGAAAGACATTTGGTTTGCTATCTCCTTGCGCTGCAAAAGTGTGTAACAAAGGGCTATGATCCGATGTGGTCCTGTTTAAATTCTCAATTGAAGAATTCAGGAAGAAATCACTCCATTCCTTGGATATCAAAACTCGATCGAGCTTCTTACTTACCTAACCATGATTCCTTGTTCCACCCCATGTAAACTCCTCCCCGATAGCTAGAATTTCAAGAAGATCGTAATAAAAAATGCATTCATTAAACTCCGTCATTGTTGTATGATCCTGGACAGAAACTCCTGAATATTCACCCAATGTCCGAATGACATTAAAATCGCCAGCCACCATCCAAGGGGAGCTTAAATACTTCTGCCAAAAATTAAATAAATCCCTCCACAAAGGCCATCTATCCACTCTACTTGTTTTTGCATACACCGCAGAATGATAAAATTTTTCAGAACAAAGAATATGGGTAATCTCAAAATGTATAACCTGACCATTGTTCTCAACCAAGGAAACATAGAACTCTTTTAGCCAAAAAAAACCCAAATCTTACCCAAATCTGAGGCGAAAGATTTATCAAAACTCAACTCCCATTTTATTCCCTCAAGCTGAGTACTATCAAGCATAGGCTCCAAAATAACCAGAAAAGAAACCTTATGCATTTGTATTAGAGCTTTCAAACGCCGTTGAGACGCTTGATTTTTGATTCCCCTAATATTCCAGATTAATTGACTTATCATGGAAAAAATTGAAATTTCACCACCACTTATTGCAAACGCGGAGAATGCCTGGGAACTAGCCCAGCTTGCGCTCTAGCTCTTTCTTCCTTTGATTTTCGACCACACTTTTTCGGAACATAACTCTCCCCTTGTGCAGAGTCATGAGTTTTAGCATCGTCCAAATCACCTTCCGACCAAACATCGCGTTCAATATCATCTACCGCCCCCATTTCAGAATTTTTACCAATTATCCCATCATCATAATATTTATCAAGCCCCAAGGAATCACCACTAACCAATGGCAGCAAAACATTTTGAATAGCATCGCTTCTATGATCGCCAAGTTCTTCGGCAAACACTTCTTCGATAGATCCTTCCTCCTCAACATTCACAACTTCGTTTTTGTCTTCTTCAATCGTTTCCAAAGCCGCAAAATGATTTGAAGTAATGGCATGAGTCACCACATCAGAGGAAATATCAACAGGTGCCACACTTTTTTCTGCTATCGACAATCCCGAAATCAAAACGTCAACAGAAGCTTCTAGGGTTTGCGCAGGGCGAGCTTGGGGAAGTTGCGCAAGTACGGTTTACGCAGGAGGAGACTGCGACTCCAAGCCTTCCACTTTTGAGGGCTGCGACTCCAAACTTTGAACAATAAGAGGTTGCATTTTAACAATTTTAACTTCCAGTCTAGATTTTTCTTCACTTTTCCGTGACTTTAAACTCACCTTCGGCAGATGAATCTTAATTCCTTTCTTCTTGGTTATCAAATTCGCATCTTTTTCCAAATCTTTCTTCAATGGTGGTGGCTTTCCCATCCAACAATCATCTGATTTATGCCTTATTTTATAACATTTCAAGCAGTAAGATGGGGCATGTTCATAGGTAAAACCTGTTCATGCTTCCTGCCTTTTTTCCCGATCTTGACCGACTTCGGAAGTTCTTTGGTGAGGTCAATTTCAACACAAAAATGAGCAACTGAGGGCCTCGTCATATTCAACGTGGGGGTGTCCACTTTCAAGGGCTGTCCAATTGCCGTTGCCATGGAGTAGATAACATCCGGATGCATATACTCAATCGGAACATCTCAAAGAGATACGCAAATTGGTACTACTGGCGGATCTTCTTCTTCAAAAAAAATCCCGGCTTCCATTTTAAGATCCTCATCGAAAATCCAGTTATATTCCAAAAGGTACGAATCCAACACCTTTGGTAATCTTCTTCTTGATCAAATCGTATCAAGATGTGCCTCGGATTCATAAGGCCCAATGTATAACCTCCATTAAATCCAATCTTTTTAAACTCCTTATGTATCTCTTCCATCTTGGGACGATCGTAAGAGAATTTACCGACCAAGCTCAATCGGTGTGGCGCTATAAGCTTCTCAAACTCATCATCTTTGAACTCCAAAGTTGGGGTTCCATTAACAAACTTGACTTGCTTTATGAGGGAGGAATCCTTCACCGGACTAGAATCCTTGTGAAAGAAACTTGCAAAAGATCTTTGTGGATCATTGGAGGCAACCGGTTGATGGTTGCCAGCCATGTAGGCCGATGAACAACTTCGCAGCCGTTGCAGGCAGGGTTCCTGCTAGAGAGAACGAAGGGTATTTTGGGTATGGGTATTATATTCAATTCAATCTCAGTGAACTCTGCTTAAAACTATATAAATAGTCAATGGAAAAAAGTTAAAAATAATTAGCAATGGAAAAAATGATGGGTTTTTTTTATTATTAATTAAGTAGATAATTAAATATATATAGAATATAATAAATATGGGTGAAATGCATGGGTGAAAAATAAATTGCAATAACCAAATTACAATAAAAATTTAACACTTTAATGAAAGGGGGTCTCCGGTATTGATGCGTGTAAAAAAAAAAGACTCTGAACTTGACATGTGGCAAATAAGACTTCGAACTATGTAATTGAGCGAAACATGTTGATTGAAAACTTGATGGGTGTCGAATCCACCAAAATAAAACCTACTTAAAAAACTACAGAAAGTGATAAGAAGGGTCGATCCCATAGAGACGGGACATATCGGATGAAAATTGAGATCCAGTGCAAGTTATGCAATGTATGAACAAAATCAAGACTTTGTGACTTGACGAAGTGGGAGAAGCCTAGGGTCGTCCTTCTCTCTACTCTATATGCATATGCTTTGATTTAATTTCTCTCTCTGTGGTATGAAACTGTGTTCAATCAGGGACAACAACACCGTAAGGCCACTCACGTTGTTCCAAACAGCAGTTCTAGCAGCAACAAGCCCACTAACTCACGTTGCTGACTCCAGAATACTACTAAGCCATTATATTCCTAAGCCCTTATGATTGCCTCATGCCAAACAACTAACTCACGTTGTTGTTTGAAACCTTGGGCTGTTACCCCCTTGTGATATGGACATCCTAGGTGATCAAGCTCAAGGATAAGTCAGTGTTCAACCGAGTAATCAAGTTCGAACTCAAAGGTTGATTCAAGATCCATTAGCCAATATTGGAGGTCCTATGGTGAGGTCTTGAAGGAAGAAAATGAATGAATCGCTCAAAAACTTGTTCATGGATGCTCAAGCTCTTAATATTAATTCAATTCCATGGGTATCATGTTTATCTTGGAGTGGAATTGAACCTTTTGGTGCATGTCGAGCTCTTAGTCGAGGTAAAGAAGTCGACACAAAAATCGACAGAAGACTGTTGAGCAATCTGTCGGTCGACAAAACAATCAACGATGCGCGACCAACTTTTTCCGAATTTCCTAATTCGATTAGGAAAAAGATTTTTCCGTAATTTCACTATTATGGCCGACCTTATTAGTCTTCTAGAAGATTCCAGAGGTTTTAAATAATTGTGACATGTGGAAATATTTATTTAAATATTATTTAAGTTATATTAGGGAACTTTAGGAAGTCAAATCTGATTTGAACTTGTATTCGAATTTTTTTTTGTCTAAACCAACCTATGCCTATAAATAGGGGGTTGGTCGACCAGAATTATTGTATGTCATTGATTATAATTGATTTTCCAATACGAAAGCTTAAACACAAAGGAATCAAAGTACAGAATCTTCCACATGATTAACAGAAAGAATCGAAAACAGGAGAAGGACAAAGTCAGGGAATATGGTAAAATGTAGCTGACTTCACAGAGTCAACTTCTTACTTCCCCAAGAGATACCCCTGAGTCTACTTCCAAACTTATGCTCTGTTTCTTTCCTAACTGAAAAACTAAGCTCTAACTTCTACTATCCTAATTCTCTCCTCACCTTTTTCTTCCTCTGCTACTGCTTGTTTATATAGAGGTTAGAGGGGAGTAATCTTGCTTAGCCGATTTGGTCTCCTCTTTACCCGATGGGTTTAAGGAAAAGAGACGAGATCCATACTACTTCACCTTCCCCCCTTACCTCTAATCACCTTTAGATCGGATTTGGTTGCTCGAATTCAGCTTTAAGGCACATCAACTTTTTCCGTTGTCAGCAGCATCACTTCATCAACTTTCCCTCCTTGCTTGAGTATGGCCTTCAACAGCTTCGATTCCCGCCGGATTTAGCCTCAACCTTAACCTTTCACTTCAGTCCAATTAATCACTTTCAATTGCGCCCAGAACTTCATCAATTTGCCACATTCTGACAACCTTTTTACGGATTTTTCAATTGAGTCCCTGGATCACCAAAAGTCACCAAATTAATCTATAAACATAAAATCCTATCCTAATTGACCTAAAACCTAAGTACAAAGAGGCAAATTGTGTGTCTTAAAACATGCATAGATTGACACTCATCAACTCTCCCAAACTTGAAGAGTTTCTTGTGGTCAAGCAAATGCAACATCTACCCCCTCATACTGACTCTAACATAAGAATGCAACAAAGGAAACAGTAAAAAATTTGTCTCATAAACAGGTTTCATTAAAAACGGGTTATGTACACTAAAGTTCCAAACCACATGAGCAAGACAGAAACTCACTTCCTAGTATGTGTGTGATAGAACACAGAACAAAGTGTTGATTTTCCTTTTTAAGTTAAGTTTAATTCAGTACAAGTGAAATTCCTGGATCTGTACCTATTTCTATCAAGTCTGCAACTAAGGTATTCTAACTGGAGTTGAGACTAAGGGCTTCCTCTCATCCACAAGGCAAATAGAGCTTCGAGGCCTACTTGCAAAATTTCAACAAATAAGGGATGTACTTGCAATAGGAGAAGATAATCAAGGCTATAAATATAGGGCAAAGTTTCAAGCAAAGATATCATCAATCAATCTACAACAACACACATATCCGCTCACGGCCCTTTGTCTTTTCTTTTTCTTTTAGCTTAGGTTAGTTTAGTTTCCCTGGCCATGCGTTCATTAAATTCCAGTGGTTAGAAGCCTCTTTGTTGTTCGTCACTTTAAATTCTGGCGGTAAGGTTTCTTCCTTGGCGTATGTCACATTAAATTTAGATGTCAAGAAAAACCCTCCTAGTAACGTCGATTCAATATCATTGTTGGGAGTTCTATTGTGATCAACTCGATTCGATTCAGTTGTTCACAAATACCTCGAGCGGTGTCAATTGGATTTCATCGTTTCAATCACTTTTGCCCCCTATGAAATCAATTCCTTGGCATTGAGGTATCTCTATTTTATACCGATTAGATACGTTGATACAGTTGCCTGATTCACTCTTTGCCAACCAGCCACTAATGCAAGTCATATCTTGCGGTGATTTGGTCCTTAAGTTTGTAGTGAGTCAAACACCATCTCTTTAGTCATTTTATATATATATTTTGAACGCATCAACATTATAAGCGTGAGGTCTTCTTGCCATCGATGAATTGCCATTAATGAAATATCATCACTTTTACTCATTTATCTGTATTTTCTACCATATATTCGTGATGAATCGTAAGACCTCAATCCATGATTCGAGGCTGATTTTAATAACCTATAACACAGTCGTCTGATCTATTTATGTTTTGGCGATTCTAGCTCTTTTTCATGATTTGAGCTAACAATTTCTGCACGAAAGACTTCATGGTTCTTCTCTTTAAACAGAAATGAAAAATAAATGCAAATTAGCACTCGTGATATTGCGAGTTATGAATTATTAGCTTTCAGTACTTTTTTCCATAAATGAATTTAAATATTGGCAAGTAATGTAAGGACCCAAAATTCTAGTTGAAATCTGTAAATAAACAAGAGGATGAAAACCGGTATTCTTTGGTCCGTGAAACGTTTTATTATTGTTATTTTAATTTTTGAGAGAAAGTTTAAGATTATATCAGTAAATATCATTTATTAAGGATTTGAACTCTAGTTACTACGTAAATAGATATATACTAAAGTTAAAAAGGAAAAGGGAAAAAAATAATAATACAAAAATGAAATAGGGAAAAGAATTAGTCATCTAATGTGGTATATCTAAATAGATTTGTTTCTTAACAAACTGATGGATAAAGATTTTGTAAACTTTGAAATTTAATTAGCGTAGAGAGTAGTTGAGATTGAATCTTCACAAAAGAGGAAGAGAGAGAGAGAGAGGGATGTTATTTACACTCCTAAATCTTCATAGTGCAGCTAGGCCTCACTAAAAGACGTTGCCTTCATCTACTTCCCCTAGAAAAAGATACGGTCATCAGGCTTCTTTCCACCCTTAACTCTTGAAAGTCACTGTCTAGCTTTCGGAAAGACAGTGTTGCAAACGATTGTTAAGTATGGAAGAGGAGAAAAATAGTTGGACAATAGAAGGAGTAGATCGTTTCACACCCAAGCCAAGAAACCAAACAGCTTATACAAGTAACAGAAAGGTGAGGGAATTCATGGGAGATTTTAAAAACAAGTTTTCCAATCCGTTTCATTATATGTATGCTTTTAAAGAAAATTCTGTCTTAGGTAGCTTTTATGTATACGTGTTCTGTTTGGGTTGTATGATATTTTGATCGTTTGATAACTTCATCACAAGTTTCTTTGACCGAAATAATCATGTACATGAAAGAAATTGAGCCATGAAATTTAAAAATGGATTGCCTTCGGTTTCGGCAAGTTTTCGATAGTGAGATGCTGTTTTCGTATCGACTGGTCCTCTTATTGTGTGATGATTTTCATGAATCCTTTCTATAGTATCATTCCTTGATGATCAATGTTGAGCTTTTACTTTGTGGATTGTGGAACCAAATTTTAGATAGATCAAAAACAGTTTAAAAAATGGTGTACCAAAGCTGTTTTTTGATTTCCCAGAACTTATACAGAACTTTGAATGCTTCGGTTGTCTGATAAAAAATGTCTTTTTGCATGATTTCTTTTCATAGATTTGTTCCCTGGTCTGTAAGGTTGACGTCTGTTTTTGCAGTGTGTAAAACAGAGTTATATTGAGCGTTAAAAATGGTTTTGAAGTTGGATCAACAAGTCTGAAATTGTCTGAACTGGGTTCTGTCTACTGTATTCTCATTGAAGCAGAATTCTTTTAAGAGATTTCTTTTCATGTGGATTTTCTATTCTCCTTGAAATGAATGTTAGTTTTTCCGGAACACAAAACGGAGTTGTCTTTGGTTCTAAATTCGTGTTTAAAGTTGACTAACAAAAGCTGATTTTCTGCTGAACATTTAAACCTCAACCCGGGTGTTTTCCTTTCAATAGTTTACCTCAACGTTTTATTTATTTATTTATCTTTAATCACGTTTATAATGGATTACATATCAAGGCTTATGGTGTGAGAAACGTTCTTCTGATTACCCTGAAGCCTGAATTGTAAATGTTCTATATAGATTTCAAAATTGAGTTTTGAATGAATGCTTGTCTACCGCAAGTCATGTACTGTATTTAGATTTGGAAATCTTTTAAAACTTGAATGATCATGCTCATTTTAATTTATGCTTGATGATGGCCATGTTTCCTGAATGAGTTTGGGCCAAGTAATGGGCAAATTGTACTGAATGAATTTATGGTTGTGAGTTGTGTTTACTGAATGCTAGACTGTTATAAATCAGTGTACTGGAAACAATCCTTGCATTCAGTATATATGTTTCAATCCTTGCAAGGTTGGCAATGGGCCCAATCACTTGGCAAGAACGTTATGGGACACTGTGGGTAATCTCATGAGATACCACTACTGAAATGGAATGGAGTGACTTGAGTAATAGTAGTTGAGTTCGATCACTAGTAGCACTGCTATTTCTTTGATAAAGTATTGATAAAGGATATTGAATTGGTCCACTTTGACACGAGTGTGTTAGAATAGCCGTGTCCCTAGTTCGGTGCACGTTACTTCTGACCGTCATGCTTGATTGTCTCCGTGATTTATGATTTTATGTGAATTGTCGTATATTTATGGCGGTATATGTATTTTTTTTGCTAATCTTATAGTTATCATTATCGTCATTATTGTTGGTATTATTGTCACTTTAAAAGAAATACCCCTTTCCATCATCAAAGAATTTCACTGCACATGTATATATATATATATATATATTTTTTTTTTTTTTTCAAAAAATAATAATAAACTCGTAGATTCTTTCACGGGGCTTTTAGCTCGCCCTTTTCAAAATCTTAATATTTTCAGATGAGGCGACATTAAAAGACTTAAGGATCTAAGCAGCTGGCATGTTTTTCCTTTGTGAACTAAAATAAGAGGAGGATATTTTGATTGTTCTAAATGTTAATTTATTATTGTTATCTGAGGAGTTTTTTTTTTTTTTTTTGTAATAAGTGGGTGGACTCTGACGAGAGCACATTCTTTTTTTTTTTCTTTCTTCTGGAATGTATCTTTAGAGATTTTATGGAATATTTTGTACTCCTTTCATTGTGTATTAATCGAAGTGAGTCTTAGCGTGAGTTAGGGAGAAACTTACGTTCATTTCCAACCTTAGAAACTTAGCCAAAACAGGGGCTGGGACGGGGTGTCACAGTTGGTATTAGAGCGGTTTAGAAACTAAAACTTAAAGAATAGAGTCTGGTAATATGCATGTCTTAGATGGAAAATAAATTAACTAATGTTAGTTTTTTATGTAGGCGTGAACACAGAAACTAAGATATCTAGTGCGGGTCAAAATGTTCATCCCAGGAAAAGGAAGAGAGCCGTCAAGTATAAGACGCGTGGTGGACTACAGCTCGTGTCGACTCCCATGAAGCGTAAGAAGGGACTAACTTGTGATTGCTCACGGACAAACACGTATCCGAACCATGTGGTAACTGCTGTGGTACGAGAAAGGAGGGAGGTTGGTGATGCACTTAAGCAAACTCAAAAGCTAATGGAGGAACAAAAGGAAAACCTTAGATGAGAGAAAGAACGTAACCAGCTATTAGAGAAAGAGAATGTTCTCTCTCCACTCGAGTGAAGTGTTTGGAAACTACAAGGCTTTGGGATCAGTTTAAATTGTCAACCTCGTGAAGCCAGTATGATGCTATGGCTGATAGCGCACTAGAAAGTTTAAAGAATCTGGAGGCAAGAATTCAAGAGACCGTCAAGGAGGTGCAAACCGAACGTGCACAAGTGTTAACCTGTTTAGATGATGATAACGTAATGGAAGAGTTTTTAATGGGAGGGTCCGCTAATTCTTAACTGGTGATAATAAAAGCTTTGGAAAAAAAATAATAAATAAAAAGATCAAATGCATTATATTGCTATTTATCTTCTTCCTCATAGTGAAGAATACTTTGGATTTTATTGGTGTGTTAGGTAACTGCTTTAAATTGAATTTGCTCATTTCTTCGATGAATATTCCTTAAACGAATTATTGTACTTTCATACTTATTTAAGGACAAGTGAATAGTAAGCATATATTATGATTGTGCTAGTAGATGGCTCGTGGAAGTACCTCGAGGAATGAGGGAAATGGCGGGAACGAGGCAAAAGGTGGGATTAACCACTTGCTTGTCATGGCCCTAGATCCCATGTCCCAGACCATGGATCGCTTTGATAGGCGGTTAAACGAGAACCCAAACCCTCGAGGGCAACATCAACAAAACAGTGAGGGAGACCAGTCCCTTGAAAGATTTCTCAAGTTTCGACCTCTGTGTTATGCTGGTGGCCACGATACGGAAAAGACGGAGGTACGGTTGGAGACCTTGGAAGACATTTATGAAGCTCTACCATATCTTGAAGCAAGAGAGGTGGCTTTTGCTACTTTCCTACTCGAAGCGGAAGCACGAGATTGGTGGAAAGTTACTCAGATGAAATGGACAGCTGAACATGTGCAAGTCACTTGGGACAAATTTTCTAGAGCTATGAAGGAGAAGTTTATTCAGCAAGTAATACGGGAAGGAAGGAAGCCGAGTTTATCAATTTGAAACAGAATGCTAAAAGTGTTGCCGAATACGAATCCACATTCTCCCGCCTTGCCATATATGCCCCAGAAATGGTGAACACTGATGAGAAGAGGAGAAAGAGATTTATTCAAGGTCTTAAGGTGGAGTACAAGAGTGCAATGGCTAGTACTATTCAAATTTCCTATGCCGCAGTGGTGGAGGCATCGCATCGAGAGGAAAGCGCCCAGAATGAAGTGCAAGCATTTCATGCTCGTAAGCCAGTAGGACCAAAGCTTGGCTCAAACCCAAAGCTGACATTAGTAAAGATCATGCTATAGGAAAAATGGCAGACATGAACAAACCACGAAGTAGTGTATCTAAGGTGGCCTGTGTGTATTGCAAGAAACCCAACCACCAGGAAGCTGACTGCTGGATTAAACATCGAAGATGTCTGCGATGTGGAAACTCATAGCATCAAATCCAAAACTGCCCAATGATGCAAGAGGTATGGAAGGCCCGTGAGACTTTGAACAAGCCCATTGTACTAGCCCGAGTGTATTCTTTGGAGCAAACAGAAGTGACACCAACATTCGGAGTGGTTGAAGGTACGCTTCCCATCCTCAATCGTTTGACTAAAGTGTTGATTGACCCGGGGTAAACCCATTCTTTTGCCAAACCTGAATTCTTAAATAAAGTCGCATGCAAAGTCGTAGCACTACCTTATCAATTAGAAGTAAGTACTCGAACCGCAAACATTAAGTTGTATGCAAATGTTGCGTATCAAGATTGCGAGCTAGAGTTTGAAGGGAGAAACTATCCCGTCGACTTATTTTCATTACCCTTTCAAGGGTATGAGGTCATATTGGGAATGGATTGGTTGTAAAAGCACCATGCTCATCTTGATTGTAGACATAAGGTCATGAGGTTGTGTGTGCCTGGAGATCCGGTGGTAGAAATTAAGTTGAAAGGCAAAGACACTGCATCAGGTTTAATATCTGAAATCCAAGCTAGGAAATTAATGTCTAGGGGAGTTCAAGGATACCTAGCATTTGTAATCAACAAGCTAGTGTATAAAGGCAAACTGGAGGAGATGCCGATTGTGAAAGAATTTTCAGACGTCTTTCTAGAAGAGGTGAACTCACTACCCCCAGAACGTGAAGTCGAGTTTACGATCGACTTGGTGCCAGGTTCTGAATCCATATCTCGAACCCCTTAACGGATGGCACCAAACGACCTTAAGGAGTTGAAGGTGCAACTCCAAGACTTACTATCACCTGGATTCATACAACCTAGTACGTCTCTATGGGGAGCTCCCGTATTGTTTGTAAGAAAGAAAGACGGAACCTTGCGGTTGTGTATTAATTATAGGAGGTTAAATAATCTCACTATTAAAAAAAAGTATCCTTTACCGTTGATTGATGAGTTGTTTGATCAATTGCAAGGCGCTATAGTGTTTTGTAAACTAGACTTATGCCAAGGATACCATCAGTTAAGGATCAAGAAGGAGGATATTCCAAAGACTGCGTTCAATACCCGTTATGGTCATTATGAGTCCGTAATGATGCCATTTGGAGTAACTAATGCTCCAGCTGTATTCATGGACATGATGCATCGTGTATTTCAACCTCATCTAGACCGGTTAGTTGTAATGTTCATTGATGACATTTTGGTTTATTCGAAGACAACCAAGGATCATGAGCAAAACATAAGGACTGTGTTACAGACTTTGAGAGATCAAAAACTATATGCAAAATTCAGTAAGTGTGAATTTTGGTTGGAACAAGTTTCATTTTTGGGTTATATTGTTTAAAAGGATGGTATATCGGTAAACCCCTCAAAGGTAGAAAGTGTACTGAATTGGAAGAAACCAGAAATTGTGACTGAGATTAGGAGTTTTTTGGGATTGGCTGGTTACTACTGAAGATTTATTCATGACTTCTCAAGGATAGAAGGTCCCTTAACCAAACTAACTCAAAAACAAGAGAAGTTTGTGTGGGATGAGAAAGCGAATAGGAGTTTTGAGGAACTCAAATGGAGATTAACCGACTCCAGTTTTGGCTTTACCTGAAGGACAAGAGAACTTTGTCGTATACATGGATGCATCTAAGGAAGGAGCGGGTTGTGTTCTTATGCAGAAAGGAAAGGTGATTGCTTATGCTTCTCGTAAAATGAAATCTTACGAGCAGAATTACCCAATTCACCACTTGGAATGGCTGTAGTAGTGATTGCACTGAAGAAATGGAGGCATTACCTATATGGTGTATCGTTTGAAATATTAACAGACCACAAGAATCTCAAATATTTGTTCTCTCAAAAGGAACTCAATGCTCAAGAAAGACGGTGGGTGGAATTCCTACAGGATTATGATTGTCAAATCAAATATCATCCGGGAAAAGCCAACGTGGTGGCTGATGGCCTTAGTAGGAAAGGACAACTTGCTAGGATTATGATAAAAGAAGTAGAGCTATTGGATGCACTAGTTGAATGGGCTCTGGTGACCGTCCAAGGTAAGGTGATGTGTGCCAATATTAAGGTTCAATTAGTTTCACCTATTTGGCTCAAAGAGGCACAAGATAGAGATGCATCCTTGATGGAAAGAGTCGAGATGGCTCACACTAGAGGACTTCTAGATTACACGTATGGGAAGGATGGAATTTTAAGATTTCAAGGTAGGATGTATGTGCATAATGACTTAGAGTTAAGGCATCAGATCCTAGAGGACGCACATCGATCTAAGTATACTATTCATCCTAGCAGTACTAAGATGTATAGAGACCTTCCACCTTACTATTTTTAGGAAGGGATGAAGAAAGAGATAACAGAGTTTGTAGCCTCTTGTCTCACACGCCAACAAGTGAAAGTGGAATATCAAAGACCTTCTAGTATACTACAACCTTTGGAGATCCCTAAATGAAAGTGGGAACACATTACTATGGATTTTGTAATGGGACTCCCAGAAACAACACGTAACCACGATGCTGTTTGGGTAGTTGTGGACTGGTTGACTAAGGTGGCACAATTCTTAGATGCAAACACTCGCTATTCTCTTGAGAAATTGGCTCAGTTGTATGCAGGAGAAATTGTATGGTTGCATGGTAATCCAACACCTATTGTATCGAATCGCGATCCAAGATTTACTTCCCGATTTTGGCAGAGGCTGCAACAAACAATGGGTACAATTCGTTTTAGTACCTCAGCAAACCCTCAGACGGATGGTCAATCAGAGAGAACAATCCAAATATTAGGAGATATGTCAAGGGCATGTGTAATGGATTATGGAGGGAGTTGGGATAGCTATCTTTCACTTGTTGAGTTTGCATACAACAATAGTTACCATGTCTCAATTGAAATGGCACCATATGAGGCATTATATGGGCGAAAGTGTAGATCACCTTTATATTGAGATGAGGTTGGAGAAAGGAAGATAACTCAATGCTATTTGGTACCATGGGTAGAGAAAGCCAGAAGTGATGTGAAGGTTATTCGACAATGTTTGCAAACTGCACAATGTAGACAAAAGAGTTACGCCAACCGAAGGAGAAAGGACTAGAATTTGAGGTGAATGATCTAGTTTTCCTAAAAGTAACACCACAGACAAGGATTATTCGGCATTGAAAGAAAGGTAAGTAAAGTCCTAGGTATGCAGGACCATTCCGGATTAGTCAGCGAGTTGGGAAAGTAGCATACCGTTTGGACTTACCTACACACCTTGGAAGAATGCATCCAGTTTTCCATGCATCTCAGCTTAGGAAGTATCATCCGGAAGCTGGTCATGTACTTCAATATGAGGATATAGAGTTGGATGAATAATTGGCATTTGAAGAAGTGCCGGTTAGAATTCTAGATCGGCAATTGAGAACGTTGAGGAAAAGGGAGATCGGTTTGGTCAAAGTTCTTTGGAAGAATCATGGAATCAAAGAGGCGACGTGGGAACCAGAATCGGAAATGAAGGAAAAGTACCCCCCAGCTATTCACTGATTAAGATAAAATCTCGGGTCAAAATTCTTGTAAGGGGGGAAGGATGTAAGGACCCGAAATTCTAGTTGAAATCAATAAATAAACTAGATCATGAAATCCGGTATTCTCTGGTCCGTGAAACATTTTATTACTGTTATTTTAATTTTTGAGAGAAAGTATGAGGTTATATCAGTAAATATCATTCATTAACGATTTGAACTCTAGTTACTACATAAATAGATATCTACTAGAGGTAAAAAGGAAAAGGGAAAAAAAATAATACTAAAATAAAAATAGGGAATAGACTTAGTCATCGGATGTGGTATATCTAAATAGATTTGTTTCTTAACAGATTGATAGATAAAGATTTTGCCAACTTTGAAATTTAAATACGTAGAGAGTAGATGAGATTGAGTCTTCAAAAATGAGGAAGAGAGAGAGAGCCAGATGTTATTTATACTCCTAAACCTTCATAATGCAACTAGGCCTCACTAAAAGATGTTGCCTTCATCTACTTTCCCTAGAAAAAGATACGGTCATCAGGCTTCTTTCCACCCTTAACTCTCAAAAGTCATTGTCTAGCTTTCGTAAAGACAACGTTGCAAACGATTGTTAAGTCTCGAAGAGTAAAATAGTGGGACAAGAAGAGGAGGAGATCGTTTCACATCCAATCCAAGAAACCAAACAGCTTATATAAGTAACAGAGAAGTAAGGGAATTCATGTGAGATTTTAAAAACAAGTTTTCCAATCCGTTTCATTATATATATTGGTCAACAAAATAGTTTTATTATCGTGGAACTAATCTGCCAGAACTGAAAATCATGGCTATTTATGATCTGTTTTGACAAATTATTTTTCGGAAAAGATTATGATTTTGGGATCCTAAATTTTCTGGAGATTATTGCATTTCTTTTGATTGTTAAAGGTCAAAAACAAAAGTAAATGGATACGGAAGAGTTTGTTGTCTATTTACTTTAAAATAAATGGTTTAGCCTAAGTTAGATTTTGGAGTAGAAAAATGTTTTCAATCTGAAAGCAAATTAGTGGCTATCATTGAGGTTGAGTGCCAAAATTAAACTAATTTTGAGGCTTTGATTTGTTCTAAGCATACACCATTTTTTTGGGTTGAGAGTATGCACAAAATATTGGCTACAATTTTGGCTTGAAAGAGCTGGCGTTAATTAAAATTTTGTGATTTTTTTGGTTAAGAGTGGGATTCTGATTGGTCAAAGGATTGGTATGACCACTCCAAGAAATATGGAATTTTCTTTCGTTTTGCCAAAAGTATTGACTTCCTTTAGTTTCAAATAAAAAAGTTTGATTAGTCCAAAATTTTGATTAGCCCAGAATTTGAAACATAAAAAAAATATTCTGGCCTTC